AGGGGGAGAGAGAGAGAGAGAGAAACATTGACGAGAGAGAATAACTGGCCACCTCCTGCATGCCCTCACTGGGTATTTGGCCCACAACCTGGGTATGTGCCCTGACCAGGTATCGAACCAGCGACCTCTTTGGTGCATGGGTTGACGCTCAACTACTGAGCCACACCGGCTGGGCAGAAATTTTTAGTAATGTGAATAGAAGCTTTCTGGACCCTTAAAGGTAGTGTTCATAAGATACTCTCCATCTCTAAAGTGAACATAAGCAAATAAAAAAAGCTTAAGTTGTACTTTGAGAGACTTTTTTTTTTACATAATTCTAACTAGAAAAGTAATTAAACACTATAATGAGGTATCAAGCAAATCTGTCCTCAGGGACACAAGAATAAACTGTCTTGGAAGGGGGTTCTATGCAATTCTGCAGGAGAAACTGGAATGAACTACAGAATCTCTTAAACCAACTTCCAGTGTTAGAATTCCAGGTTCTATATTCACAGCCCAATAGTGTCTCTGAAAGATATTCCACCTAGAGTGGAGGAAGGTAGAATAGAGTGTAGGGGGCATAAACAGTGATGGAAGGAGACTTGTCTTAGGATGGTGAATGCACAATATAATATACAGATGACATATTATAGAATTGTATACCTGAAACCTATATAATTTTATTAACCAATGTCACTTCAATAAATTCAATAAAAAAAGATATTCCAGTTATAGAAAGATATACTAATCTACAAGTTATTTCAGTTTGCATTCAGATACTGAGTTTTTTCACTATAGCATTTATTCATTATATGTACTTATAAATTAGGAACTGAAAATTGACTACTATTGTTTGAGGCAATTCCACCCATTTTCAGCAGTATAGTTGTCAGCTTAAGCATAAACTCTACAAAAATGTTTATTTTTTTCACTTAATTTAATTTTTTTTTGGTATGTGCCCCTAGTGGGAACTGAACCCAGGACTCTCTGGTCTGCAGGCCGATGCTCCAACCACTGAGCCAAACTGGCCAGGGCCAAAAATGTTTAAACTGAAACAATACTTGGTTCTAAATTAAATAAATAGAAATATCTACATAATGCATATCCAACCTAACACTAAGAAAAAAATAATCTGTGTTTACAGGGTAGAAAATTTACAAGGCCAAAACATTCAATTTAAGTCAGTTTTTCAACAACTTCTTAGAAAGTTATCAACAAAAGTCTTACTTTGGAAAACAAAAACAGTCTTTCCACTATTTTAGAAAACTCATGGCCTTCTTTTAAAAATATATATATTTTGCCCTAGCTGGTTTGGCTCAGTGGTTAGCATGTCAGCCCTCGGACTGAAAGGCCTCCGGTTTGATTCCCAGTCAAGGGCATGTACCTGGGTTCAATCCAAGCCAGGGTCTGGGTTGTGCAAGAGGCGACCAACTGATGTGTCTCTCTCTTACATCAATGCTTCTCTCTCTCCATCCCTCCTCCTTCCCTCACACTCTATCTAAAAGAAGAACAAATCAATGGAAAAATATCCTCAGGTGAGGGGGGGGGGGGAATGTATGTACACACACACCCCACCCCCTGTATATATTTTTTTTAGTCCTCACCTGAGGATATGTTTTCTATTGCTTTTTAAGAGGAAGGAGGGAGCCCTGGCCGGTTTGGCTCAGCGGTTAGAGTGTTGGCTCGCGGACCGGAGAGTCCCAGGTTCATTTCCCACTGGGGGCATATACCTCAGTTACAGTTTGTCCCCGGCCCCAGCTGGGTCGTGCGGGTGGCGACCTGTCAATGTGTCTCTCTCACATCGATGTTTCTCTCTCTCTTCCTCCTTCTCTGCCTCCCACTCTATCTGTAGATAAATGCAAAAGTGTCCTCGGTTAAGGATTTAAAAAAAAGGGGGGGGGGGGGACATCCAGACCGGGTGATTGAACCTGAAACATTTTTGGTGTACTCTCCAATCAACTGAGCCACTTGGACGGGGCTTAAAATAATTTTTAATTTACCACATTATTTTAATATGTTTTCATTGATTTTTTAGAGAGAGAAGAAGGGAGAGAGAGAAACATTGATGTGAGAGAGATACATTTATCAGCTGCCTCCTGCATGCCCCCTACTGGGGATAGAACCAGCAACCCAGCCATGTGTCCTGACCAGGAATCTAAGCCAGACCTCTCAGTCCATGGGAGGATGGACGCTCAATCCACCAAGCCACACCGGCCGGGCCCACATTACTTTTTAACAGTCATCAGACAACTGAATAGTGGTTATTTATTACAACCAGAAGCAGGCACTTATGAAGTCATAGGAATGTTAATTATCTTAAATTCAACAGGTTAACCATAGCAGTTTGAGAGCTTTTTTGCCAACCTGTATTAGGCCATCTCAATAGGTCCCAAAATTATACATTAAATGACACTTAAAAACAATACATTTCTAGATTCTAGAGATTTACTTAAACAACACAAATATTTTAACCAAGTATGCATCCATGCATGTATTTGTTTTAACTAGATTTTATTAATGATACTGTGTATTTGTTTAAAACAGAAGTCTAACAAAACAGATTCAGTCAGGTCAACATAAGAATCAAAACAATACTGGATTATGGAGCTAACTGCTTTGATGAGAAGAGAATAATAAGCATTAACTGCTTTCAGTTCGCAAATGATCTTTCATTTTATAATCAAAGAAAATAAAAAACATGACTTCTACAACCAAAAAATAATGTAGCCTAAAACTGGGTGATCACTTAATTGTTTGGATTCCTAAGAAGCTACTTACTGACGTCTAACTGCTTTAAAACCAGAATAATTTTTTTTCCAGAATACATTTTCTTAATGGTTCGTTCCTTTGTTCAGAAATTTATCATACCTTGTTTTATACAGAGATAACAGCTCATCAGAATATATGCTACTCTGTGTCTTTGAGTTTAATAACTTTTATAATGCAAATAATTTTTGTTATTTTTTTTCTCATCCACACTGGGCCCTCATCTTTCACAACACCTAAAAACAATCTTAGTTGTTACACACACACACACACACACACACCTCAAGCATATAAAATTCATTACACTGGTTTTGTAGCCATAATAATTGTACTAATAAATACCAACTCTAAAGAACTGAAAACTTATTAAGGCAGGGTTTAAATGGTAAGACGCACAAGGGGATGGGAGAAATAATAATCCTCCCCCTTTGAGACTGGCAGAACAATATGCCAAGTTTCCTATACTCAAACTAGTGTAAACAAGGAAGAAAAAGAGCTAGGGTGGGAAAGAAAGCAGGCGAGAGAACAACACTCTTTAAGACAGCTTTATTTCTAAATTTCACCAGAGTAATATCTCCTTAGTGTTTTCAATAATCCCTGTCACTCTATTTAATAAACACCATAGGTTAGTGTTCAGAAAAGTACTCTTGGTTATAGTCCCTGCTTGAGATCACCCTGGACATAAAAGATACAAGTGGTGCTGACAAATGCTTCTTTAATTCTAAAGACTATCTCCTGCATTCAATGCCTGAGTTTTCTAAACAACTAGAAATTCAATCCCACTCTTGCTATAACAATCAACTTTAAAGATAAAATAAAAGGACTGACCAATGATGCTGCACAGAAAAAAATTCACACATCACCTTTGGTGCAGTCACAGCTACAAGGCTCCCATTAGTAAAATGAGCATCTTTCAGGAGAGGACTAGATGAGGAATGGGATAAAGACTAGACTTACAGCTTCTTTTTTCTGGCAGTGCCTGAGGCATTCAATGGACATGGAATAAAGGGGAGGCTAGCTGTACAAGTGATGCCAAGAGAAACAAGATTCCACATGTCAGGGGACTGCCCAACACAGAGAGCAAAGGGCATTCATCCCATGGCTTTTTGACCAAAGAAAGATGAGTTGCTTTACTAGAAATCTTTTCAAAGGCAGTCTAATGGTCTCCACTTTCTCACTCACCCTGAGTGAACCCAACAATCCCTCCTCAGAGAACAAGAGGAAGCCTTGCTTATCAAAAACAGCAAGTGCTATGTCCAAAGCCCAGAAACACTCCTTTAGTCAAAGTGCCATGGTCTTCTGACCCAATTTCAATCTTCTACAGGAGACTCAAAGCTAAAAACACTTGATTCCCGGCCTAAATCAAATTCTGTTTTCCCAAACATCTACCAACCCAGCTTTCTTTCGGATAAGCCCCTCTCCATTCCAGCATTCTGGAGCAGAGGGCCCCAGTCCCCTGAGAAAGTTCCCTTCCCCAAGATAAACTCCTTTCCTTCACTTTTCCTAAGGTTTTTCCCAGACATGACCCCAGGTCTAACGCTCCAGTCCTCCATTAGCCGATCTGCTGGTAGATCCCACCCCTTCCTTGGCACAACTGTTCGGAGAGAGTCGTCTCTCTTACCATACTCACTAGTCCTCCCCCATAATATCCTTCCCGTTCCCCTGTCGGTCCTCGCGTGGACGGACGGACCGATACGGACGGACGGACACACACACACCCCAGTTCTTCTCAGCAGCTAATTCCCAAGTCTTTCCCGCGCCCCAGGTTCCTCCCTCCACAGCACGTAACACTCCACCGGAGTTTCACCTCATCCCTGTCTTTCTCAGCCCCTTACTTCACACCCGAAGCTTTTTCCACTCCCCAATTTCAGATTTCCTGTGCTTTCTACTCTTAGTCAACACCACAGCCCTCTTCCTCCCAAGTCTACTCCTATGCCCCCAGGCTCGTCTTTCCCCCTCTTCCCACGTTCCACAGCCCCTACTACTCCACACAACCTCGGGACCCTAACCCCAACCTCTCTTCCGCCCCTCCTGCCCTCCGTGGCCCCAACCCTCTTCGTATGTCTTCTCAAGCCTGCTTAGCCCCCAAATTTCTCCCATGCCCCTGGGGCACCCCCACACGCCTTCCCGGCCCCGGAAAGAGGGTGCCCCTCAGAGCCCGCCCGGCCCGTCCTGCCGCGGGGCTCGCGTGTCCCTTCCCTTCCCCTCGGGGCCCCGAGGCCGCTGCCAGCGCTGGCGCGGCGGGGCCGGCTCACCAGTTGGTCATGTCCAGGAAAAAGGCGCAGCCGGCCGGGTTGAGCTGGAAGCCGAGCAGCCGCTGGAACTCGGAGATGAGCACGTCCTTGTCGGTGGTGCCCAGACAGCTGAACTTCTGCATTAGCTCGGGGTCCAGGTCCACGTCCATGCCCTCCATGTCTGGGGCCGGACACCCGCTTCCCCGCCTCCTCACAACCGAGCCGCCGCGCCGCCGGGCCCGGGGACCAGAGGGGGCCCGCTGCTAGCTGGCGCCGCGGCGCCGCGACCCCGCTCCTTTGAGGTAGGCCCCGGGCCTCTCACCGCCTCATACGGGTAAACTCACTCAGCCACTCTCGCGCGCGCGCTCCCCCCCCTCCCACCCCCCCCAAGCCGCCACCTCCGCCGCCGCCGCTGCCGACTCTCGCTTCTCCACCGCCTCCGCCTCCACCCGCGCCGCGCCCACTGCGCAAGCGTCGCCCGCCTAAGCCCCGCCCCTTCCTCTCCCGGAAGCCCGGCCCTCAGTGGCGTCACAACCCCGTGACGTCCCCCGCGTGACCTCACCGCGGTGAAGCGAGGGGGTGGGAAGTGAGGAGGAAAGGCACCGCCCAGCGGTGATGGGGGGAAGGGTGACTCCTGGATTGACCATCGCCTCGTCCCGCCCCTATCCCCAAGGGGCGGAGTTAAAGCCCGGGGTTGGGGGACAAGCTTCCGGTTCGCAGTCGAGGACAGCTCCACCATTTTGGAGGAGAGGAAACGGCTGCTAGAAGTCCCGGGAAGAACCGAGACTGTGGCAAGGTCAAGTACCAAAGTGTACCCCGGGACCCATCCCTCCCAGCCAGGGCTTTGCCCTTCGCGCTGGAAGGACTTGTTTGCCTAAGTTTACAGAGCTGCTTTCCCAGAGGGATTCTGCTGTAAATCCTTGGTTTCCCGGCCACCCTCGGTGGTGGTTGCCACAGTTTATCGGAGCTGTTTCTCTTACGCAACGGTACATAGTCGGGGGAGTAAAGGAGGCCTTGATGCAAACGTCAGTCACAGGTCCAAACGAACACCACACGTAATTGGTTAAGACCAACCCTCTCGTAATAAAGGTTAAGTCGCAAGAATTTGGACTGCAATGTTCTGTTTTAAAAAAGGTACACCTACCTGGTCAAGCCCCGGGTTCAAGATCAAAGAATGAGAAGGTAAGCATAGGGACCACCTTGTCTACCTCCTTACAGTCCTTCTTTCAGGAAGTGGTTTTAAACACTATTTGCCCCACTCTGCTACATCCAAAGGGGAAAAGGATGAGAGGAAATGGTCTCCTGTTTCCTGCCTTGAGGTAGCTGTTTTACAAGTAAGGAAAGAGATCCAGAAAGCTTATTTCCTTGTCCAAAAATACAGAACAGCAACTCTAGAACCCAGCTTTCAGATTCCTAATGGAGTATGTTTTCAACAGACAGAAGAACTAGAATAAGTGATTGGTAGTGTCTAGAATGCTAGGAGGTTTTGGAAAGGGAAAGCATTCTACCTCCTGTCCTCACTACCAAATAAGAATTAGTAAAACATAGTGGCTTTAAAAGCCTGGGTTCTGGGATCACACCCATTGGAGATTCAAATTCTCATTCTGCCAATTATTAATAAACATAATACTTGCACAGATAGATTATTAAGTGAGGTAAGAATATATGGGCTCAGTACTGTGCCTGCTCCAGAAGAAGCCCTCAAGAAATGTTAACTGGCCCTAGCAGGTTTTGGGTCAGCGGTTAGAGCCTCCGCCTGCAGACTAAAGAGTCCTGGTTCAGGCTCAAAGGCACATACCATGCGGGTCGCAACCAATGGATGTTTCTCTTTCTACCTCCCTCACTCCCTCCCGCTCTGTCTGAAAATAAATGTAAAAGTATCCTCCAGTGAGGATTAAAAAAAAAAAGAAATGTTAACTGTGGCAATAAACTTGAGGGAATTGCTGAAGGGTTAGACTCTGATAAAAGTAGGCAGGAATTACTTCTTACCCTGGCCCCTCTTCTAAGTTCTGGCCCCCTATTAGAATATGAAATATGTGTCCTTTGTCTTTTCCTAATAAAAGACTGTCCTTTCTCTCTCTGGTGACTTTTTTTCTCCCTCCAGTGTGAATATCTTATGGAAAACCCCTTGCAGTAATACTATTTACAAACTCATACCATACAGTAGTTGTAAACACTATAAGAAACTGTTCTTGGGCCTCTGAGATCTGTGTGAAAGCCTAGATCATTGCCAGGGCCTAGTTTTTCGGTGACCACAATATTGGTATATTTCACTAATAGTAAGGAAAGTTCAGTCTCCCTCAGAGGTAAGCACATATTATCCCAATCTTATGGATGATGGAATGGGGACAAAGATTTAAAAATCATAATACAAGAGCCAAAAGAAACAAGTAAGGAAAGTGAGATCCAGAAAGTTTATATTCCTTGTCCAAAAATACAGAGCAGCAACTCTAGAACCCAGCTTTCAGATTCCTAATGGAGTATGTTTTCAACAGCAGACAGAACTAGAATAAGTGACCGGTAGTGTCTAGAATGCTAGTCCAACCTCTCCATTTTGCAAATGAAATTGAAACCAAAAGGGCTTCTCCGGACCATCTCAGAACTATGTCAGGGGCTATGCTTGGATATGTCACTGCCTGGTGTATGCCCAGGGCCAGCCAGTTTCTTTCTGAATTTCTTAGGCTGGTGATCTTGTGTAAGAAATTTAAATTAATTCCAAATCCCAAGACAGGGTTACATTCAAACTGTGATGACCTCCTTTCTCTGTGAATCATTAACAACCTCTTAAGTAGCCCCCAGCAGCCATATTTGCCCCACATAAACCTATCCTTTAGCCCCCATTGACTGACCAAGAGAGAGATAACTGGCTTAGGATCAACTAATCAGGGTCTCTTTCTCAGAAACTTGAAATTGGAATTCAATGAGTGGGTGGAATAAATTGGCCTATTCTGTTTACTTGAAAGTGACTGATAGAAAGTAAACCTTTGTGGGGCACCCATGAAAAGGTGATATTGCCTGTCTAAAAATGAAGCAGAGAAAAGCAAAGATGTTAGACATGAAGGCATGGAAGAGACAGATCCCTGCCATCCTGAGTCCTGGTTGGTCGGCTTCCCTTAGATTCCAGGAGATTCTCCAGATTCTATTCAAAATAAAGTATCTCCTGGATAAAGTCAAAGAAAGAATCAAGTCATAAAATGAAACCAAAATAATTTAGAATAAAATAAAGTGAATATTTGGTTTGTAGTTAGGGATGAACATCCTACTCTTAATTTTTATTTTGATTTTGTTTTATCCTCACCCGAGGACATTTTTGCATTTATCTTCAGATAGAGTGGGAGGGAGAAAAGGAGGGAGAGAGAGAGAGAGAGAAACATCGATGTGAGAGAGACACATTGAGTGGTTGCCTCCTGCACGACCCCAACCGGGGCCAGGGACAAACTGCAACTGAGGTATGTGCCCTCAGTGGGAACCGAACCCATGTTTCTCTGGTCCACTGGCCGACGCTCTAACTGCTGAGCCAAACCGGCCAGGGCTGGACATCCTACTCTTAAAATAATGGAAACCTCTGTAGAAAAAAATGAGGACACAAACAGGCAACTCACAAGAGAAGCAATACAAATGGCCAATATACAGATTAAAATATGAATTGTGGCCCTGACTGGTTTGGCTCAGCAGTTAGAGCGTCAGCCTGCGGTCCAGAGAGACTCCGGTTCAGTTCCCTCTAAGAGCGTGTACCTCGGTTGCAGTTTGTCCCCGGCCCTGGTTGGTCATGCGGGTGGCAGCCACTCGATGTGTCCCTTTCACATCGGTGTTTCTCTCTCTTCCTCTCTCTCCTTCCCACTCTATCTGAACAAAAAATGGAAAAATGTCCTCGGATGAGGATAAAAAAATAAATAAAAATAAAATATGAATTGTGTCACTCATAGTTAAATAAATAGATTAAAACAACAATAAAGTATCACTTTCGCCTAATCAGACAGGCAAAATATATTTTGGAGATTAATCCTTATCAGATGATTCATTGGCAAATATATTCTGCCATACTGTGGGTTCCCTTTTCATTTTGTTGATTTCTTTTGCTGTGCAGAAGCTTTTTAGTCTGAGTCCCATTTGTTTATTTTTTCCTATGCTTCCCTTGCCCTTGGAGACATATTGGCAAAATATTGCTCCGAAAGATGTCTAAGATTTTACTGCCTATGTTTTCTTTTAGGATTTTTATGGTTTCATGGCTTACATTTAAGTCTTTTACTTTTTTTTTTTGTACATGCCCCTAGCGGGAACCGAACCTGGGACTCTCTGGTTCATAGGCTGATGCTCCAACTGCTGAGCCAAACTGGCCAGGGCAGTGACATGTTTTTAAACAAACACAAGAGATCATAGTATATATACTGTTTAACAGCTTGCTTTTCTCTAAGTCAGTCTTTTATACCTTTTTGTGTTACAGAGGGGACAAATTATGACAAAATAATTTTGGCATGTTTGTTGTTTTAATTGTGATTAAGAACACATACACACAACTTTCCATCTTAATCATTTTTAAGTGTACAGTTTGGTATTGTTAAGCATATTCACATGGCTGTACAACCTACTTCCAGAACAGTTTCATCTTGCAAAACTGAAACTCTGTACCCATTAAACAACTCCCCTTTACCCCGCCCCCTAGTCCCTGGCAACTCTCATTCTATTTCCTGTTTCTATGAATTTGACTACTCTAGATACCTTATATAAGTGGAATCATACAGTATTTGTCTTTTCACTTTATACAGGCTCACTTCACTTTACACAATGTCCTAAAAGTTTATCTATGTTATTGCCTATGTCAGAATTTCCTTCCTTTTTAAGGCTGAATAATATTTCATTGTATGTAGGTACCATGTTTTGTTTATCCGTTCATCTGTTGATGGACATTTGGCTATTGTGAATAATGCTGCTTATGAGTATAAATGTGCAAATATTTCTTTAAGACTCTACTCTCAATTCTTCTGGATATGTACCCAGAAGTGGAATTTCTGGGTCATGTGGTAGTTCTATTTTTAATTTTTAAAGGGACCTCTGTACTGTTTTTCATAGTGGTTGCACCATTTTACAATCCAATCAACAGTGCACACGCATTCCAATTTCTATACATCTTTGCTAACACGTTATTTTGTTTTGTTTTTTGACAGTAGCCATTCTAATGGATGTGAGGCAATATTTCATCATGGTTTTGTTTGCATTTCTATGGTGATTAGTGATGTTGAGCATCTTTTCATATTCTTGTTGGCCATCTTGTAAATTATCTTTGGAGTAATGTCTATTCAAGTCCTTTTCCCATTTTAAATCAGGTTATTTGATTTTTTGTTGT